GGGCTGCCCAATACTGTCACTATGGTGGTGTGTCCACTCACAGGATGAGTGACGCTGCCCAATACTGTCACTATGGCGGTGTGTCCACTCACAGGATGAGTGGCGCTGCCCAATACTGTCACTATGGCGGTGTGTCCACTCACAGGATGAGTGGGGCTGCCCAATACTGTCACTATGGTGGTGTGTCCACTCACAGGATGAGTGGGGCTGCCCAATACTGTCACTATGGTGGTGTGTCCACTCACAGGATGGGTGACGCTGCCCAATACTGTCACTATGGCGGTGTGTCCACTCACAAGATGAGTAACGCTGCCCAATACTGTCACTATGGCGGTGTGTCCACTCACAGGATGAGTGACGCTGCCCAATAAACTCGCCCCTCGCCAGAAAACTTTATATCTATCATGTGGGCATGCAAGCCGCTTTAAGCAACAGCCTAATAGATCAAACTATCACAAGACAAGCTAGGCCATAAGCCAGGCTTGAGGAGGGAAGGGAGATAGAGCTCTGAAAACCGCTTACATATGAACTAGGGATGTCATATGTGCTTCTGAGAGGGTGTATGTGTGGGCGTTGGGTTGGGAGCCTCTGGTACATAACAGGTGACAGTGGGGCCCTTGTCGTGGCCAGCTCCTCCCCTCTCTCGGCCCTCTGGTCGCCCAGGGCAACTGTTCCCCTCTCAGTGCCACGTTTCCGACTTACTAACATTTCCCCTCTTCCTCCTATGTCCATGGAAACGCCGCCCCCGACGCCATCTGGGGGCCCACCCTCGCCTCTCAAAGTCAGCCCAGGAATTTTTGTTTCTCCTTTCTCTGTCTCGCTCGCTCTCTGTCTCTCACTCTCTGTCTCTCACTCTCTGTCTCTCTCACTCTGTCTCTCTCACTCTCTGTCTCTCTCACTCTCTGTGTCTCTGTCTCTCACTCTCTGTCTCTCTGTCGCTCTCGCAAATCTGTGAGAATAGTCTAGAGCATGCCAACAGAATGTTCAGGGAATTCTACTCCTCAAGCCCGGCCCGAGGCCAGGCTTGACTTGTGAGAGTTTGGTCCACCAGGCTGTTGCTTGGAGCGGCCCGCAGGGCCACATACCCACCTCAGCCCGGCTGATCCGGAACTTCTCTTAGAAAACCGTCCAGTTTCCTCTTGAAGATGTCCACGGTTGTTCCGGCAATATTTCTTATGCTCGCTGGGAGGACGTTGAACAACCGCGGACCTCTGATGTTTATACAGTGTTCTCTGATTGTGTCTATGGCACCTCTGCTCTTCACTGGACCTCTGATGTTTATACAGTGTTCTCTGATTGTGTCTATGGCACCTCTGCTCTTCACTGGACCTCTGATGTTTATACAGTGTTCTCTGATTGTGCCTATGGCACCTCTGCTCTTCACTGGACCTCTGATGTTTATACAGTGTTCTCTGATTGTGCCTATGGCACCTCTGCTCTTCACTGGACCTCTGATGTTTATACAGTGTTCTCTGATTGTGCCTATGGCACCTCTGCTCTTCACTGGTCCTCTGATGTTTATACAGTGTTCTCTGATTGTGCCTATGGCACCTCTGCTCTTCACTGGACCTCTGATGTTTATACAGTGTTCTCTGATTGTGCCTATGGCACCTCTGCTCTTCACTGGACCTCTGATGTTTATACAGTGTTCTCTGATTGTGCCTATGGCACCTCTGCTCTTCACTGGACCTCTGATGTTATACAGTGTTCTCTGATTGTGCCTATGGCACCTCTGCTCTTCACTGGACCTCTGATGTTTATACAGTGTTCTCTGATTGTGCCTATGGCACCTCTGCTCTTCACTGGACCTCTGATGTTATACAGTGTTCTCTGATTGTGCCTATGGCACCTCTGCTCTTCACTGGTTCAATCTTGCATTTTCTTCCATGTCGTTCACTCCAGTATGTTGTTATTTTACTGTGTAGATTTGGTACTTGGCCCTCCAGTATCTTCCAGGTGTATATTATTTGGTATCTCTCTCGTCTCCTTTCTAGTGAGTTCATTTGGAGAGCTTTGAGACGATCCCAATAATTTAGGTGTTTTATCTCGTCTATGCGTGCCGTATATGTTCTCTGTATTCCCTCTGTTTCAGCAATCTCTCCTGCTCTGAAGGGGGAAGTGAGTACTGAGCAGTACTCAAGACGGGACAACACAAGTGACTTGAAGAGTACAACCATTGTGATGGGATCCCTGGATTTGAAAGTTCTCGTAATCCATCCTATCATTTTTCTGGCTGACGCAATATTTGCTTGGTTATGCTCCTTAAACGTTAGGTCGTCAGACATCATTATTCCCAAATCCTTTACATGCTGTTTTCCTACTATGGGCACATTTGATTGTGTTTTGTACTCTGTATTATGTTTCAGATCCTTATTTTTACCGTACCTGAGTACCTGGAATTTATCACTGTTAAACATCATGTTATTTTCTGCTACCCAATCGAAAACTTTCTTGACATCTGCTTGTAGTTTTTCAATGTCTTCAGCAGAGGTAATTTTCATGCTGGTTTTTGTGTCATCTGCAAAGGATGATACGAAGCTGTGACTTGTATTTTTGTCTATATCAGATATGAGAATAAGGAACAGCAGTGGTGCAAGGACTGTACCTTGAGGTACAGAGCTTTTAACATCGCTTGGACTCTATTTTATCTGATTGACTGTTACTCTTTGTGTTCTGTTCGACAGGAAATTGAGTATCCAGCGTCCTACTTTTCCAGTTATTCCCATTGACCTCATTTTGTGAGCTATCACCCCATGGTCACATTTGTCGAACGCCTTTGCAAAGTCTGTGTATACAACATCTGCATTTTGCTTTTCTTCTAGGGCTTCTGTGATTTTGTCATAGTGGTTGAGTAACTGTGACAGACAGGATCTTCCCGCCCTAAATCCATGTTGTCCTGGATTGTGCAATTCATTGTTTTCCATAAAACTAGAAATTTGATTCCTAATCACTCTTTCAAACACTTTTATTATGTGTGATGTTAGTGCAACTGGCCTATAATTTTTTGCCAAGGCTTTACTCCCCCCTTGTGCAACGGAGCTATATCTGGAGATTTAAGTGCTGCTGGTATCTCCCCTGTATCCAGGCTCTTTCTCCATATTTCGCTGAGTGCTCTCGCTACTGGTACTTTACATTTCTTTATGAATATTGAATTCCGTGAGTCAGGCCCAGGAGCTGAGTGCATGGGCATATTGTCAATTTCTCTTTCAAAGTCTTCCGAGTTTGTGGTAATATCCGTTATATTATCTGCAGCTTGAATGTCATTCATAAAGAAGCTGTCTGGGTCATCAACTTTCATGTTGTTTATTGGTGTGCTAAACATAGCCTCATACTGGCTTCTTAGAATTTCACTAATCTCTTTGTTGTCCTCTGTGTACGTACCTTCATTTGTAATTAACGGTCCAATACTGGTCGAGGTTTTGGATTTTGATTTTGCGTATGTGAAAAAATATTTCGGATTTTTCCTTATCTCTTGTATAGCTTTCTGTTCCAATTCCATTTCCTCAGACTCATATGATCGCTTCAATGTTTGTTCTATTTCCTCAATCTCCCTGCTTAGGCTTATTTTCCTTGCTTGTGATAGTTGTGTCTGCTGAAGCATTTCCGTTATTTTTTTCCTTCTCCTGTACAGTCGTCTGCGTTCTCTTTGTGGAGTGGTCCTCTTTCTGCCCCTCCTCACAGGCACGTGCTTCAAGCAGACCTTGTAAGCTTCAGCTGTCAGTTGAGCTATTCCCTGTGTGGGAGTTTTGTCGCTTAAGACCGTCTCCCATTGAATGGTTGCAAGGTCTACATTTATTTTTTCCCAGTCAATCCTCTTATTGTTGAAATTGAATTGATTGAATACTCCTTCTCGCTTGTTGGGTCTCTTAGACCTACTACCGTTATTTATGCTAGTTCGCACTTCAATGAGCTTATGGTCTGAGTATGAAGTATCTGAGATTGTGATCTCCCTGATTAGTTCATCATTGTTTGTGAATAACAAGTCTAGTGTGTTTTCGTTCCTAGTTGGTTCTGTAATCTGTTGATTGAGCGAGAATTTGTCACAGAATCTCAAAAAGTTCTCTGACCTGTGGTTGGTTATTTCCCGGGTCATTCCCTGCTATGATATTTGTGTTTGCCGTTCTCCATCTTAGACTCGGTAAATTGAAATCTCCAAGGAAGATAATATCTGGAGCTGGGTTTGCTAGGTTGTCAAGTATGTTCTCTATTTTGTGCATCTGCTCTGTGAACTCCTCAACCGTTGTATCTGGCGGTTTATATATTAGAATAATAATTAGGTTTAGTGTTCCCTGACTGTCCCTGACTGCATGTTCCCTGACTGTCCCTGACTGCATGTTCCCTGACTGTCAGTATTTGATACTGTACACAAAAAATTGCATTAATGAGGAATTAATGGGGCTGCAGGGAATTAATGGAACAGCATAGGAGTGGGCCGACTAAGGGCCGTTAGCCTTCAACCCCATTAAGTGCAAGGTGATGAAGATGCGCCAGAAGTGGCAGACTTCTTGCACATCCTTGCACATTAGGGAACCGGTCGGCTGAGCGGACAGCACGCGGGACTTGTGATCCTGTGGTCTTGGGTTCGATCCCAGGCGCCGGCGAGAAACATTGGGCAGAGTTTCTTTCACCCTATGCCCCTGTTACCTACCAGTAAAATAGGTACCTGGGTGTTAGTCAGCTGTCACGGGCTGCTTCCTGGGGGTGGAGGCCTGGTTGAGGACCGGGCCGCGGGGACACTAAAGCCCCGAAATCATCTCAAGATAACCTTAAGATAGTACGACATTATTTGGCCGTAGGGGAAGTATAGCACGTTGTGCGTTGTGGGAAATCAAGAAAACGGAACTGGTTAGGCACACCCTCACTCTCCTCACGTCACGTGACTGTCCAAACTGACATCAGAGTCCGGTTGATCAGTCTTTTTCTGTATTGAAAGGCTATATATTATTAGGAATAACAAGGACAATATATCATTCTATTAACTCAAGTTGTCTTGTATTGAGTTATGTTAGTGTGGGGGTCGTGGTGGTCGTCCACGGTCGTGCTGGGCTGCTGCTGGTCGTGGTGGGTCGTGTCTGGTCGCAGGTTGTCATGGTGGGTCGTGTCTGGTCGCGGGTGGTCGTGTCTGGTCGCGGGTGGTCGTGTCTGGTCGCGGGTGGTCGTGTCTGGTCGCGGGTGGTCGTGTCTGGTCGCGGGTGGTCGTGACTGGTCGCGGGTCGTCGTGTCTGGTCGCGGGTGGTCGTGTCTGGTCGCGGGTGGTCGTGACTGGTCGCAGGTGGTCGTGACTGGTCGCAGGTGGTCGTGTCGGGTCGACGACTCCCACCCTCCACCTTCCTGGGGCTCCCAGCATTCATTATGGATTTTAATTTTCGCCCTGCGGGGGTTATGAGACGGTGTGGCTGTGGTAGTGTGGCTGTGGTAGTGTGGCTGTGGTAGTGTGGCTGTGGTAGTGTGGCTGTGGTAGTGTGGCTGTGGTGGTGTAGTGTGGCTGTGGTGGTGTGGTGTGGCTGTGGTGTGGCTGTGGTGATGGGCCTAAATCAGCAGACATAGCCCCACTACACAAGGGAGGGAGCAAAGCATTAACAAACCATTATAGACCAGTTGCACTAGTAACCATCCTTCAGTCTCAGGAGACTATGGAGTTGGTCTCTAGCTCTCGGTCTGGAGTGGCCTCTCCAGGGCACAAAGCCTGGGTAGGTTGATATGGAGGAGAAGCTGTTACCCATGCAGCGGGTCCCCTCACACGGCGCTGGTGACCCGGGGCGGGTGTCTGACCCTGGGTGTGGTGACCCGGGGCGGGTGTCTGACCCTGGGTGTGGTGACCCGGGGCGGGTGTGGTGACCCTGGGTGTGGTGACCCGGGGCGGGTGTCTGACCCTGGGTGTGGTGACCCGGGGCGGGTGTGGTGACCCTGGGTGTGGTGACCCGGGGCGGGTGTCTGACCCTGGGTGTGGTGACCCGGGGCGGGTGTCTGACCCTGGGTGTGGTGACCCGGAGCGGGTGTCTGACCCTGGGTGTGGTGACCCGGGGCGGGTGTCTGACCCTGGGTGTGGTGACCCGGAGCGGGTGTCTGACCCTGGGTGTGATGACCCGGAGCGGGTGTCTGACCCTGGGTGTGGTGACCCGGGGCGGGTGTGGTGACCCGGGGCGGGTGTCTGACCCTGGGTGTGGTGACCCGGAGCGGGTGTCTGACCCTGGGTGTGGTGACCCGGAGCGGGTGTCTGACCCTGGGTGTGGTGACCCGGGGCGGGTGTGGTGACCCGGGGCGGGTGTCTGACCCTGGGTGTGGTGACCCGGAGCGGGTGTCTGACCCTGGGTGTGGTGACCCGGAGCGGGTGTGGTGACCCGGGGCGGGTGTCTGACCCTGGGTGTGGTGACCCGGGGCGGGTGTCTGACCCTGGGTGTGGTGACCCGGGGCGGGTGTCTGACCCTGGGTGTGGTGACCCGGGGCGGGTGTCTGACCCTGGGTGTGGTGACCCGGGGCGGGTGTCTGACCCGGGGTGTGGTGACCCGGAGCGGGTGTGGTGACCCGGAGCGGGTGTCTGACCCTGGGTGTGGTGACCCGGGCGGGTGTCTGACCCTGGGTGTGGTGACCCGGGGCGGGTGTCTGACCCTGGGTGTGGTGACCCGGAGCGGGTGTCTGACCCTGGGTGTGGTGACCCGGGGCGGGTGTCTGACCCTGGGTGTGGTGACCCGGGGCGGGTGTCTGACCCTGGGTGTGGTGACCCGGGGCGGGTGTGGTGACCCGGAGCGGGTGTCTGACCCTGGGTGTGGGGACCCGGGGCGGGTGTGGTGACCCGGGGCGGGTGTCTGACCCTGGGTGTGGTGACCCGGTGCGGGTGTCTGACCCTGGGTGTGGTGACCCGGAGCGGGTGTGGTGACCCGGGGCGGGTGTCTGACCCTGGGTGTGGTGACCCGGGGCGGGTGTCTGACCCTGGGTGTGGTGACCCGGAGCGGGTGTCTGACCCTGGGTGTGGTGACCCGGAGCGGGTGTGGTGACCCGGGGCGGGTGTCTGACCCTGGGTGTGGTGACCCGGAGCGGGTGTCTGACCCTGGGTGTGGTGACCCGGAGCGGGTGTGGTGACCCGGGGCGGGTGTCTGACCCTGGGTGTGGTGACCCGGAGCGGGTGTCTGACCCTGGGTGTGGTGACCCGGGGCGGGTGTCTGACCCTGGGTGTGGTGACCCGGGGCGGGTGTCTGACCCTGGGTGTGGTGACCCGGGGCGGGTGTCTGACCCTGGGTGTGGTGACCCGGGGCGGGTGTCTGACCCTGGGTGTGGTGACCCGGAGCGGGTGTCTGACCCTGGGTGTGGTGACCCGGAGCGGGTGTGGTGACCCGGGGCGGGTGTCTGACCCTGGGTGTGGTGACCCGGGGCGGGTGTCTGACCCTGGGTGTGGTGACCCGGAGCGGGTGTGGTGACCCGGGGCGGGTGTCTGACCCTGGGTGTGGTGACCCGGAGCGGGTGTCTGACCCTGGGTGTGGTGACCCGGAGCGGGTGTGGTGACCCGGGGCGGGTGTCTGACCCTGGGTGTGGTGACCCGGAGCGGGTGCCTCACTGTGTGCGACAGCGGCGGCGTGACCCGGGGGCGCGGACCCCTGCTACAGCTGGGCGCGGGTTTTTACCGCCCCCTCGCTGGCCGCCACTTTTACCTCGGCCCCTCACAAATCCTCTTGCTCTCCCCTTTTTGTCCTCCTGTTCCTCGTTTACTCTCTCCCCTCCTCTTCATTTTCCTCCCCTCGCCCTTTCTCTTGCCCCTTCCTTTCCCTCTCTGCTTCCCCCAGTCCTTTGTTCCAGACTCCTGGTCTGCCTTCACCGGCGTCTCTCTCTCTCTCTCTGTGTCTCTCTGTGTCTCTATGTCTCTCTCTCTCTCTCTGTCTCTCTCTGTGTATGTCTCTCTGTCTCTCTCTGTCTCTCTGTCTCTCTCTGTGTATGTCTCTCTCTCTCTCTCTCTCTCTCTCTCTCTCTCTCTCTCTCTCTCTCTCTCTCTCTCTGTCTCTCTCTGTGTATGTCTCTCTCTCTCTCTCTCTCTCTCTCTCTCTCTCTCTCTCTCTCTCTCTCTCTCTGTCTCTCTCTGTGTATGTCTCTCTCTCTCTCTCTCTCTCTCTCTCTCTCTCTCTCTCTCTCTCTCTCTCTCTCTCTCTCTCTCTCTCTCTCTCTCTGTGTCTCTCTGTGTCTCTATGTCTCTCTCTCTCTGTGTATGTCTCTCTGTCTCTGTGTGTCTCTCTCTCTCTCTGTGTCTCTCTGTCTCTCTCTCTTTCTCTCTCTGTCTCTCTCTTTGTCTCTCTCTCTCTCTCTCTGTCTCTCTCTGTGTATGTCTCTCTGTCTCTCTCTCTCTGTCTCTCTCTGTCTCTCTCTGTGTATGTCTCTCTCTCTCTCTCTGTCTCTCTCTGTGTATGTCTCTCTGTCTCTCTCTGTCTCTCTCTGTCTCTCTCTGTGTATGTCTCTCTGTCTCTCTCTCTCTCTCTCTCTGTCTGTCTGTCTGTCTGTCTGTCTGTCTGTCTGTCTGTCTGTCTCTCTGTCTGTCTCTCTCTTTCCTTCACTATTCTTAAGCATTCCCTTCCGCCGGTGTCTGCTGCGAGCGTGTCTGCGCAGGGGCTCCTGTTTGTGGCTCTGTTTTCTCCTGTTTGTGTCGTGTGTGAGCGCAGGCACAATATCGTGTGCGTGCGTGTGTGGCGGCGTGCGAGGTGGGGTGCAGCAGGAGCAGCAGCAGCAGCGGCAGACAGCTCCTGGTGTCTGAGCGCCGTCAACATTCCTCGTGGGACATTTACCTGCCCCAGGTGACAACGCCGCCGGTGCTATCGCTGCCCCACCACCACCACCACTACCACTATCACCACTATCACCTTGAGGTAGCTGCGAGCAGCCTGACCTATGGCTCATAGTCTCGTTGATCAGGTATCCTTTAGAGGGATTAACCAGTTCTTTCTTGAACGCCTTTGGTGCTCAAGGGGGCTGTTTTGCACTTCCTGCCATGCCTCCTTGTCTGGTGATGGATGACGTCCTTGTGTGGGTGGTAGGGGGAATACAGCCCGCCCACCCTGCAGCCCGCCTACAGGGTGGGCGGGCTGCAGGGTGGACGGGCTACAGGGTGGGCGGGCTACAGGGTGGGCGGGCTACAGGGTGGGCGGGCTACAGGGTGGGCGGGCTACAGGGTGGACGGGCTACAGGGTGGGCGGGCTACAGGGTGGGCGGGCTACAGGGTGGACGGGCTACAGGGTGGACGGGCTACAGGGTGGGCGGGCTACAGGGTGGGCGGGCTACAGGGTGGGCGGGCTACAGGGTGGACGGGCTACAGGGTGGACGGGCTACAGGGTGGACGCGGTAGAGGTAATAAAGTTTAAGTGGAGTACAGTCCCAGGTGGCCGCCGTGCTGTCGGTATTGGCTCACACCTACGTAACCCGCCGTCCCTCGCCCCCTGCGGCCGTCCCTCGCCCCCCTGCGGCCGTCCCGTCCCTCGCCCCCCTGCGGCCGTCCCGTCCCTCGCCCCCCTGCGGCCGTCCCTCGCCCCCTGCGACCGTCCCTCGCCCCCTGCGGCCGTCTCTCGCTCCCTGCGGCCGTCCCTCGCCCCCTGCGACCGTCCCTCGCCCCCTGCGGCCGTCCCTCGCCCCCTGCGGCCGTCCCTCGCCCCCTGCGACCGTCCCTCGCCCCCTGCGGCCGTCCTTCGCCCCCTGCGGCCGTCCCTCGCCCCCTGCGGCCGTCTCTCGCCCCCTGCGGCCGTCTCTCGCCCCCTGCGGCCGTCTCTCGCCCCCTACGGCCGTCCCTCGTCCCCTGCGACCGTCCCTCGCCCCCTGCGACCGTCCCTCGCCCCCTGCGACCGTCCCTCGCCCCCTGCGACCGTCCCTCGCCCCCTGCGACCGTCCCTCGCCCCCCTGCGATCGTCCCTCGCCCCCCTGCGATCGTCCCTCGGCCCCCTGCGACCGTCCCTCGACCCCTGCGGTCGTCCCTCGCCCCCTGCGACCGTCCCTCGCCCCCTGCGACCGTCCCTCGCCCCCTGCGGCCGTCCCTCGCCCCCCTGCGACCGTCCCTCGCCCCCTGCGGCCGTCCCTCGCCCCCCTGCGGCCGTCCCGTCCCTCGCCCCCCTGCGGCCGTCCCGTCCCTCGCCCCCCCTGCGGCCGTCCCTCGCCCCCTGCGACCGTCCCTCGCCCCCTGCGGCCGTCTCTCGCCCCCTGCGGCCGTCCCTCGCCCCCTGCGGCCGTCCCTCGCCCCCTGCGGCCGTCCCTCGCCCCCTGCGGCCGTCCCTCGCCCCCCTGCGGCCGTCCCTCGCCCCCTGCGGCCGTCCCTCGCCCCCTGCGGCCGTCCCTCGCCCCCCTGCGGCCGTCCCTTGCCCCCTGCGGCCGTCCCTCGCCCCCCTGCGGCCGTCCCTCGCCCCCTGCGGCCGTCCCTCGCCCCCTGCGGCCGTCCCTCGCCCCCTGCGGCCGTCCCTCGCCCCCCTGCGGCCGTCCCTCGCCCCCCTGCGGCCGTCCCTCGCCCCCTGCGGTCGCTCAGGTCGCCTCAAGAAACAATGTTGTTCAAGCAGGTATCACTAGACAAGCTTGACCTTATACTGGGCTTGGAGTAGTAGAACTCCCTGAACCCCTCCAAGTATACTCCAGGTATACTTCAATTGTGATTAACGGTAGCACAGTCCACTTACTTCAGGAAAAGGCTAACGAAGGCCTTTAAATGAGTACATCATACAAGAAAGTCCAGGTTCTTCATTGAACCTAAGAACTAAGTCCAAGATCTTGGAAGACAAATCTCAGCCGGCAGGTTACAATATGGGGCAGGTTACAATATGGGGCGGGTTACAATATGGGGCAGGTTACAATATGGGGCGGGTTACAATATGGGGCAGGTTACAATATGGGGCAGGTTACAATATGGGGCAGGTTACAATATGGGGCAGGTTACAATATGGGGCAGGTTACAATATGGGGCAGGTTACAATATGGGGCGGGTTACAATATGGGGCAGGTTACAATATGGGGCAGGTTACAATATGGGGCAGGTTACAATATGGGGCAGGTTACAATATGGGGCAGGCTACAATATGGGGCAGGTTACAATATGGGGCAGGTTACAATATGGGGCGGGTTACAATATGGGGCAGGTTACAATATGGGGCAGGTTACAATATGGGGCAGGTTACAATATGGGGCAGGTTACAATATGGGGCAGGCTACAATATGGGGCAGGTTACAATATGGGGCAGGTTACAATATGGGGCAGGTTACAATATGGGGCAGGTTACAATATGGGGCAGGTTACAATATGGGGCAGGTTACAATATGGGGCAGGCTACAATATGGGGCAGGCTACAATATTGGGCAGGTTCCCTTATCTTGTCAATATCCGTATGGCAGGATAGCCATACGGATATCTCGTCTTCATACACGCTATCGATCTATCTTCAAACACGGGTGCTGTATCTATCAATGCTGGAGTTACTCTCGAAGCCAGGACAGGTAAATCACAAGAAAGCAGGCACAGTGTTCACCTGGGCTCAACCAGCCCGTCCTCACCCACCTTCACAACGGCTAGAAAACGCTGTACGAAGTTGCCCGATCCTATCCTAAGGTGGCGAGGACCCGCGGATAGGGAACGGACGACTAGCCCGTTTAGCTAGCCGCTTGGGTTCATGGTACGTCATATTTTGACGTTGGAGGGGAAGATGGTTGACCCAACTGCTGCTTCTGTCCTGCTTTTCTCCCGTTTCTGTCCTCCCCTCTTCCTTCTCTGTCCTCCCCCTTCCTTCCCTGTCCTCCCCCTTCCTTCCCTGTCCTCCCCCTTCCTTCCCTGTCCTTCCTGTCCCGACTATTCCTCTCCCACCCCGTCATTTCCGTCCTTTCTCCGTGGCTCCGTGCACCCCGGCCGCTGCCACACTTGCCAGAAGGCTATTGGTGGGGTGATTCCCGGGTGGTGGTGGGGTTGTGGGGGTGTGGGGGGGCCGCCTCAGCGTGACCAAGATGACTGCTGGGTACCGACCGCTCCCCTCCTCCCCCCACTCCCAGCCCCATAACCCCCCCCCCCCCACCAGAACTCGCTTCGTCTAATGAAGAGCCAAGTGTTGCTTCTCCTGCCGCTGCCGCTGCACTCGCTGCTGCTGCTCCTGCTGCAGCAGCAGGAGCAGCAGCAGCAGGAGCAGCAGGAGCAGCAGGAGCAGCAGCAGCAGCAGGAGCAGCAGCAGCAGCAGCAGGAGCAGCAGGAGCAGCAGGAGCAGGAGCAGCAGGAGCAGCAGGAGCAGCAGCAGCAGCAGCAGGAGCAGCAGGAGCAGCAGCAGCAGCAGCAGCAGGAGCAGCAGCAGCAGCAGCAGCAGGAGCAGCAGCAGCAGCAGCAGCAGCAGCAGCAGCAGCAGCAGCAGCAGCAGCAGCAGCAGCAGCAGGAGCAGCAGCAGCAGCAGGAGCCAGGAACTTGCCTGTCCTTCGGTGTTGACGGCTCTGTCTGAAGCCCTTAACACAATGGTCTAAACTGAGACCGAGAGGCACACACAGACCTTGTCTTAGTGCCTGTACACCTGTGTAACGGGCGTGAACAGGTGTACAACTGTGCTTGATTGATGATTGATAAAGATTAAGCCACCCAAGAGGTGGCACGGGCATGAATAGCCCGTAAAACTGTGCTTGGAAGGGAAGCGACTATATAGCACTGGGAAGGGGTCAGGATAAGGATTTGGGATGGGACGGGGGGAAAGGAATGGTGCCCAACCACTTGGACGGTCGGGGGATAGAACGCCGACCTGAATAGAGAGACCGTCGCTCTACCGTCCACGTCAAGCAGGTATATGTGGGCCTGCGGGCCGCTCCAAGCAACAGCCTGGTGGACCAAACTCTCACAAGTCAAGCCTGGCCTCGGGCCGGGCTTGGGCAGTAGAAGAACTCCCAGAACCCCATCAACCAGGTATATGTGGGCCTGCGGGCCGCTCCAAGCAACAGCCTGGTGGACCAAACTCTCACAAGTCAAGCCTGGCCTCGGGCCGGGCTTGGGCAGTAGAACAACTCCCAGAACCCCATCAACCAGGTACAAACCAGGCAAAACTAACACAAACTGATAATACCATGATGATATAGATGTTATCACGGCCTAAACGACAGTTGAGAGGCGGGACCAAGAGCCGAAGCTCAGCCCCTGCGAGTACAACTAGGTGAGTACTCAGCTCTTATAATACAGTACTATTTTTTCTTAAATTTTTCTGCTGCCTTAAGTTTTAGAACCAATTTTCTTAAGTAACTGTCGAATAATTCCCGTTTTCTTTCCTTCCAGGTAGGGTTCCATGCCTGGACTGCGTACTCAAAGGTCAGTCTCAAACCCTTCACAATATTGTGATATATCCAGAAGGTGAGGCAGCGTCAGTATGCAAATGATCGCCTTAAGCGTTTGGGAATTAGACCATGAATTATTTTTTTTAATTGAAATGGCAATTCTTGAATGGCAATTGAGGCTTTCTTCTCGACTCTCAGTCGGGAAACCCGGGTTAGAGTCCCGGCCGTGGTAAATATGGCTAGGTATGTTTCCTTTCACCTAATGCTGCTGTTCACCTAGCGGTAACTAGGTACCTGGGAGTCATATATCATTATATATACTTATATAACTATTTAAGGCTACTCAAAGTTTCCTTATTAGGGCTACTCATCGCTCCGTAGATGGACTTCCCTCATATACTTCCTAGTATCCTGGGGCCAGATTCACGAAGCAGGTACGCAAGCACTTACGAACCTGGGGCCAGATTCACGAAGCAGGTACGCAAGCACTTACGAACCTGGTGGCCAGATTCACGAAGCAGGTACGCAAGCACTTACGAACCTGGTGGCCAGATTCACGAAGCAGTTACGCAAGCACTTACGAATCTGTACATCTTTTCTCAATCTTTGGCGGCTTTGTTTACAATTATTAAACAGTTAATGAGCTCTGAAGCACCAGGAGGCTGTTTATAACAATAACAACAGTTGATTGGCAAGTTTTCATGCTTGTAAACTGTTTAATAAATGTAACCAAAGCCGTCAAAGATTGAGGAAAGATGTACACGCTCGTAAGTGCTGGCGTAACTGCTTCGTGAATCTGGCCCCTGTTCTGGTGATAGTGGTAATAGTGGTGGTAGTGGTGATGGTAGTTGTGGTGGTTAGAAAGGACAGGTTGACGCTGGTGGTGGGACCAGAAGACTTGAATGCTGAGTGCTGGGGGGGGGGTAAGGGGGGGGGGAGGGAAAGTTGATGGTGGTGGCGCCTTGGTGGCGCATGCGCGTATGTACTTACCTAATGATGCCTTCAAGTGTCGAGCTGGGGTTCTTGGGCCAAGTGTCTCAACCTTCAATCTTGGGCGCCTGACGGTTGAGTGGACAGCGCCTCGGATTCGTAGTCCTGAGGTTCCGGGTTCGATGCCCATTCCAGGATTGGTCTGACATATGTCATGTCATCCCGCTGTGGCTCGTACCTGGTAGTGTAGTGATCCTCCCGCTGTGGCTCGTACCTGGTAGTGGTGCACAGCCTCAGAGGTCATGAACCGCTGGTAGGAAGTGCAGGAGGCTGTCTCGTGATGGCGGGGCTGTCGCGGGGGGTCGGCAGGATAACGGCAGCGGCAGGAGTGACGGTAGGGGCAGCAGGGGTGACGGTGGCAGCGGCGGCGGCAGGGGTGACGGTGCTGGCGGCAGGGGTGACGGTGACGGCGGCGGCAGGGGTGACGGTGGCAGCGGAGGCGGCAGGGGTGACGGTGCTGGCGGCGGCAGGGGTGACGGTAGGGGCAGCAGGGGTGACGGTGCTGGCGGCGGCAGGGGTGACGGTAGGGGCAGCAGGGGTGACGGTAGGGGCAGCAGGGGTGACGGTGCTGGCGGCGGCAGGGGTGACGGTAGGGGCAGCAGGGGTGACGGTAGGGGCAGCAGGGGTGACGGTGACGGCGGCGGCAGGGGTGACGGTAGGGGCAGCAGGGGTGACGGCGGCGGCAGGGGTGACGGTAGGGGCAGCAGGGGTGACGGCGGCGGCAGCAGGGGTGACGCTGACGGCAGCAGCGGCAGCAGGGGTGACGGCGGCAGCGGCAGGGGTGTGGACCTGGCCAGAGGTAATAAATAAAAGCCTGAGCGCAGCGGGCGGGGCGGGACAAAGCGACCACCAAGGGGACGGTGCTGCTGCCCTTCCTGGCGGTGGTGGTGTGGTGGTCTGGGGTATGGTGGTGTGGTGGTGTGTGGTGCGGTGTGCGGTGTGTGGTGGTGTGGTGTGTGGTATGGTGTGTGGTGCGGTGTGTGGTGGTGTGTGGTGCGGTGGTGTAAGCTTAAAACCCCAGGTCATGCTTGGGGGAGTAGAAGAACCCCCAGAACCCCATCAACCAGGTATCAACCAGGTATCAGACAGTTCTTCAATCACCTTCTGTGGTCAATTGTTCAATATATCAGTCTAACAGATCTCTAACGCTGTCCAATAAGAACAATTTTAATATTAAACTCATCATAGCAGTATCATGAAAGTTTACAACCTGCATGAATGCTAAAAGTCAATGTAAACAATGTTCAAAGATAATGTATTTCTAGAAAGAACTAGTACATACAATGTCTGAAGTCACTAATATTGAGGTACATCATCTCCAGAGACGTCTGTGGGTATCGACCTTCACTTTTGCCTGCGGTGTGGGCGTGGGGCGCCGCGGGGTACCGCTGGGACCATACGGTCTTCTAGCCCCCTCACTGTCACCACACACTTCACTGCCCTAAAAAGACCATTTGAAAAATTGTAAAACATTTCCAAATACCTGTGATTTGATCCAGTGCTTTTGAAGATCACACACATACTAAATAGCATTTTGATATATTCATAGTGAGTTTTAACACTAACTGTCTCACCGCAGATGGGAAATGCTCTGTTTTGAGACTGTTTTGGACCAGTTTTTGAGGCAAGTGTAGTGTAGAAGACTCTTGGAATATGTTAAACTGTGTAACTGGATTATCAAGAATGTTACATGCTTAAATATATGAGTTTGGGGTCCAGTTCCTGAGGCCCTTATGTGCCTGTGTAACTCTATATACTTTTTTGGAGTAAAGAGGGAGGAGAGGCATAGGTGAAGGGAAGTATAGAAGTGGGAAACACAGTGAGAGGTATGAAAGCAGGCACCCACGGGGTGGGTATGGGGTCTATGAGGTCTCTCTGGTCACTACTTGCGGCACCACAGCTGTGGGGACCAGCTGTGGAGACCAGCTGTGGAGACCAGCTGTAGGGACCAGCTGTAAGGGTCCGCGGGTGACGGATCAGGCGGCCGCTGGCGTAATCACCAGATCGATGATAGCCCGGCCTGCCAACCAACTTTTTTACGTAAATGACGTGTGGAGGGGTCGGCCGCGGGGTCCGACCCCACGCCGGGGTCACGGGAAGACAGGCGTGGGGGGCGACACCCCCCTCCGACAGGTCACGGGAAGGGGAGGAGTGTCGAACCCCGCCAGGTAACGTACTTACCAAGTCTGAGCTTCGGCTCTTTGGTCCCGCCTCCTAACCTCCCTGTCTCGCCTATCCATCTCCAGCCCCCCCCCCTCGTCCTCTCCTCAGGGGGCACTGACCCCCCTATCCACTCCCCGTCCCAATAGAGCCTGGCGACCCACTTATGCAATCCCCCCTACCCCCCCCACGCCTAGCCTAGATGTCGCCTTTACCAAATCCACTCACTGGCAACAGTACCGGGATAGTATGGCAACGGTACCGGGATAGTATGGCAACGGTACCGGGATAGTATGGCAACGGTACCGGGATAGTATGGCAACGGTACCGGGATAGTATGGTAACAGTACCGGGATAGTATGGCAACGGTACCGGGATAGTATGGCAACGGTACCGGGATAGTATGGTAACAGTACCGGGATAGTATGGCAACGGTACCGGGATAGTATGGCAACAGTACCGGGATAGTATGGCAACGGTACCGGGATAGTATGGTAACAGTACCGGGATAGTATGACAACAGTACCGGGATAGTATGGCAACAGTACCGGGATAGTATGGCAACAGTACCGGGATAGTATGGCAACAGTACCGGGATAGTATGGCAACAGTACCGGGATAGTATGGCAACGGTACCGGGATAGTATGGCAACAGTACCGGGATAGTATGGCAACGGTACCGGGATAGTATGGCAACAGTACCGGGATAGTATGGCAACGGTACCGGGATAGTATGGCAACAGTACCGGGATAGTATGGCAACAGTACCGGGATAGTATGGCAACAGTACCGGGATAGTATGGCAACGGTACCGGGATAGTATGGTAACAGTACCGGGATAGTATGACAACAGTACCGGGATAGTATGACAACAGTACCGGGATAGTATGGCAACGGTACCGGGATAGTATGGCAACAGTACCGGGATAGTATGACAACAGTACCGGGATAGTATGGCAACAGTACCGGGATAGTATGACAACAGTACCGGGATAGTATGGCAACAGTACCGGGATAGTATGGCAACAGTACCGGGATAGTATGGCAACGGTACCGGGATAGTATGGTAACAGTACCGGGATAGTATGACAACAGTACCGGGATAGTATGGCAACGGTACCGGGATAGTATAACAACAGTACCGGGATAGTATGACAACAGTACTGGGATAGTATGGCAACAGTACCGGGATAGTATGGCAACAGTACCGGGATAGTATGGCAACAGTACTGGGATAGTATGGCAACAGTACCGGGATAGTATGGCAACAGTACCGGGATAGTATGGCAACAGTACCGGGATAGTATGGCAACAGTACCGGGATAGTATGGCAACAGTACCGGGATAGTATGGCAACAGTACCGGGATAGTATGGCAACAGTACCGGGATAGTATGGCAACAGTACCGGGATAGTATGGCAACAGTACCGGGATAGTATGGCAACAGTACCGGGATAGTATGGCAACGGTACCGGGTGGTGTCTAGCCTACGCTTGAAACAACACTATGATCGCCCGTCTCTTATATTACCCGGAAATTTGCTCCGTGGATCAATAATCCTGTTTCGGAACCATTGTATAAGTAAATCCTTGAGAGGCCTGACGGCTGAGTGGACAGCGCATGGGATTCGTAGTCCTGAGGTTCCGGGTTCGATCCCCGGTGAAGGTGGAAACAAATGAGTAAAGTCTTTCACTCTGATGTACCTGTTCACCTAGCAGTAAATAGGTATCTGGGAGTTAGACAGCTGCTACGGGCTGCTTCCTGGGGGGGGGGAGGGTGTAACAGAAAGGAGCCCTGGTCGAGGACCGGGCCGCGGGGACACTAAGCCCCGAAATCATCTCAAGATAACCTGGAGCCGGTCGGCCGAGCGGACAGCACACTGGACTTGTGATCCTGTGGTCCCGGGGTCGATCCCAGGCGCCGGCGAGAAACAATGGGCAGAGTTTCTTTCACCCTATGCCCCTGTCACCTAACAGTAAAATAGGTACCTGGGTGTTAGTCAGCTGTCACGGGCTGCTTCCTGGGGGTGGAGGCCTGGTCGAGGACCGGGCCGCGGGGACACTAAAGCCCCGAAATCATCTCAAGATAACCTCAAGATAACCACAGTTGTATAAGGTGCGGCCTCGCCTCATACAAGGTAATATACACCTCTTATCGCAGACATCAACATTATTGCCACAACTATTTATAGCTTAATCTTGGGTCAACAGAGTCCTTCTGTGTAGACTTTGTTGGCCCGTATGTGAAGAAGGTATTTGTGTATATAATTGTATGAGGCTTAAGTGACTTGACTTGTGAGAGTTTGGTCCACCAGGCTGTTGCTTGGAGCGGCCCGCAGGCCCACATATACCTGGTTGATGGGGTTCTGGGAGGTCTTCTACTCCCCAAACCCGGCCCGAGGCCAGGCTTGACTTGTGAGAGTTTGGTCCACCAGGCTGTTGCTTGGAGCGGCCCGCAGGCCCACATATACCTGGTTGATGGGGTTCTGGGAGTTCTTCTACTGCCCAAGCCCGGCCCGAGGCCAGGCTTGACTTGTGAGAGTTTGGTCCACCAGGCTGTTGCTTGGAGCGGCCCGCAGGCCCACATATACCTGGTTGATGGGGTTCTGGGAGTTCTTCTACTGCCCAAGCCCGGCCCGAGGCCAGGCTTGTGAGAGTTTGGTCCACCAGGCTGTTGCTTGGAGCGGCCCGCAGGCCCACATATACCTGGTTGATGGGGTTCTGGGAGTTCTTCTACTGCCCAAGCCCGGCCCGAGGCCAGGCTTGTGAGAGTTTGGTCCACCAGGCTGTTGCTTGGAGCGGCCCGCAGGCTCACATATACCTGCTTGATGGGGTTCTGGGAGTTCTTCTACTGCCCAAGCCCGGCCCGAGGCCAGGCTTGACTTGTGAGAGTTTGGTCCACCAGGCTGTTGCTTGGAGCGGCCCGCAGGCTCACATATACCTGGTTGATGGGGTTCTGGGAGTTCTTCTACTGCCCAAGCCCGGCCCGAGGCCAGGCTTGACTTGTGATAGTTTGGTCCACCAGGCTGTTGCTTGGAGCGGCCCGCAGGCCCACATATACCTGGTTGATGGGGTTCTGGGAGTTCTTCTACTGCCCAAGCCCGGCCCGAGGCCAGGCTTGACTTGTGAGAGTTTGGTCCACCAGACTGTTGCTTGGAGCGGCCCGCAGGCCCACATATACCTGGTTGATGGGGTTCTGGGAGTTGTTCTACTGCCCAAGCCCGGCCCGAGGCCAGGCTTGACTTGTGAGAGTTTGGTCCACCAGACTGTTGCTTGGAGCGGCCCGCAGGCCCACATATACCTGGTTGATGGGGTTCTGGGAGTTGTTCTACTGCCCAAGCCCGGCCCGAGGCCAGGCTTGACTTGTGAGAGTTTGGTCCACCAGGCTGTTGCTTGGAGCGGCCCGCAGGCCCACATATACCTGGTTGATGGGGTTCTGGGAGTTGTTCTACTGCCCAAGCCCGGCCCGAGGCCAGGCTTGACTTGTGAGAGTTTGGTCCACCAGGCTGTTGCTTGGAGCGGCCCGCAGGCCCACATATACCTGGTTGATGGGGTTCTGGGAGTTCTTCTACTGCCCAAGCCCGGCCCGAGGCCAGGCTTGACTTGTGAGAGTTTGGTCCACCAGGCTGTTGCTTGGAGCGGCCCGCAGGCCCACATATACCTGGTTGATGGGGTTCTGGGAGTTCTTCTACTGCCCAAGCCCGGCCCGAGGCCAGGCTTGTGAGAGTTTGGTCCACCAGGCTGTTGCTTGGAGCGGCCCGCAGGCCCACATATACCTGGTTGATGGGGTTCTGGGAGTTGTTCTACTGCCCAAGCCCGGCCCGAGGCCAGGCTTGACTTGTGAGAGTTTGGTCCACCAGGCTGTTGCTTGGAGCGGCCCGCAGGCCCACATATACCTGGTTGATGGGGTTCTGGGAGTTCTTCTACTGCCCAAGCCCGGCCCGAGGCCAGGCTTGACTTGTGAGAGTTTGGTCCACCAGGCTGTTGCTTGGAGCGGCCCGCAGGCCCACATATACCTGGTTGATGGGGTTCTGGGAGTTGTTCTACTGCCCAAGCCCGGCCCGAGGCCAGGCTTGACTTGTGAGAGTTTGGTCCACCAGACTGTTGCTTGGAGCGGCCCGCAGGTGGAAGCTGGAAAGAAAGACGGAATAGAGGAGATATGATCACGACATACACGATCCTGAGAAACTGGTTCCGCTGGGCTGGTGGTCAAGAATGTATTGGGAGACGTTGTAGAAGCCACCTCCAGCCACATCTTTAAGGCCAGATACGACATGGGCTTCGACCGTGAGAATAGTTAAGTTGTATCACAACTTGAGCAAGGATGGTTGGCGGAGTGTGAGGGAGTAGTCGACACCTGCTCCTGGTTACTGAGAGACGGTGGTAGTGGTGGTTGTAGGAGATGGTGGTAGTGGTGGTGGTCCGTGGCACCAGCTGGCCGCCACCTGCCTCTCCCCGCGTCGTAAAGGGTCTGGTGGTGGTGGGGAGAGTGGAGTGGGATGCTGGTAAG